CTGAACCAGTTCAACTTAATGAATTGTTTTGTCACACAGTAACCTAACAGCTAAGTTAGGAATCAATAAAAATCCACTAGGCGGCCACTTCCGGTCATAGTTGGATTGTGTTGTACTCGACTACATTATACATGAGAGGATCAGAATATTAGGAACACCTCTGAATGTAGTCCAGTACAGCACTGCCTTTAACTATGATTTAAATAATAAACATTCTAATAAAATGTATACATTTATGGCAATTTCACCCAAAACTAAAACCTTTAGAGCTTCATAAACACAGATATTACGGTGGAAGTGTTGCCTTGAATTACACACAGTTGTACAGGTGTACCTAATAACGTAGCCACGGAGTGTGTATAGTCTTCACACACCTCTACTTTCTAAGTTCTTAGTAAATCATTCATGTCGAAACATCAAGAACGACACATTAAAAGTATGAAATCGCCAGAATATGAATGGAGATTTTGTCTCACTGTTCATATGAGGCAATGTATGCAGATGGAAAACCATCAAGGAGCACATATATTTGTTACTTTCATAGATCAAATGATAGTTCTGTCTGGAATTCATTTCTGCTGTGAGTGCATAACAAAAAAAAAAAAACTTGCTTGCATGGTTTTGTTGCCAGTACATAGTATTATCAGAAGGTTGATTCCCAAGCTTGGCTGTGACTCAGCAAAGGCTGACATTTAGTCCAGGTGAGAAAGCAAGGTAGCTTAATGCCCTAGAAGCAATGGAGAGTGCACTTTTTTTGGCTTGTTTGATTTGAAGTTTGCATGCTATTCAGAGGCTAAATGCTTTGCCTATAACCATACCATCTGCTTTGCCCTCCTGGGCATAGGCTATTATCCAGTGTAAGTGTTGTGAGAGATTTGTGTGGGTGGACTACAGCAGATGGTAAGATGGAGAACATAGCTGGTTGATGTGGTAGTTAGGCTAAGTCTTGTGGTTGTTGTCATATTCAGCTTTGGTAGGTGTAAAAAGAAATAAGGATCGCTTTATTTGGTCAAATATGTTACACAAACACACACACACACACACGCACACACACGGGATTTGTTTCCGGTACAGAACCGAGGCAGCCATCTTCGGCACCAACTCACACCGATGGCTCTGACCATCGGGGGCAAAATGGAGTTGAGTGTCTTGCCCAAGGACACTTTGACATGTGGACTGCAGGCACTGCGATTCGGACCTCCAACCTTCTGGTTGAGAGACAACTGCACTACCCACCGAATCACAGTTGCCCCCTGTCAGCTGGATGGGGGATGGAATCTTAATATGTTTCTCTCAGATGATTCCACCATAGTCAGTATGACAAATGGTTTGAATGCTAATTAGTTTTTCTGTGCTGTTGAAAAACAGTTCATATACTCAACATCATGGAGGAACTATTGACCTCTGCACCCCCCACCATCTGGGTTTTGACCCCGTTACTGCCGTGACATCATTTGACCTCCCTGTTGCTGGTTGCTGCGTGGGTGGGTTGCATAAATGTGCCCAGGTCCACGGTATTCAGAGGTCAACAGTGGAGTTTTCTGCCATATTTAATTAATTCAGTCGACCAGGAAGCGACCGAAAGGGCACAACAGTGGAGTTTTCTGCCATATTTAATTCATTCAGAGTCGACCAGGAAGTGACCGAAAGGGCACTTATCATTGGCTGATTGGTGCCCAATCAACTTGCTTAACATACTTTATTTTTTTTACTGGCCCTGGGCCATTGCTTATGTCAAACCCTGGTTCCTTTGCCAACTAGATTTTAATACTTGTAGCAAATTAGATTTCTCCAAATAGAATGTGATACCAAGTCCTTGCTGACACCTCCTGCAGCTCAGCATATGAAATACAAGAATGAGTGTACGTCACTGAAGGTGGGTGCACTAATGGCTTTTACAGCAGGTAGGAAAATGGAACATTTTCTTTGAGATTAACATTCAGCATCACCAATAAGCTGTCAGTTGATGTGTATGTGCACTTTGTGGTAAATAAATCATTAAACTATTATACTCATAACGTCACTGTCAGAATATTAGATGAATATATGTTGACAAATGAGGTGGGGAAATAATTGCTGTGCTAGTCCATCGTCCCTCCTGTGTCAAGTAGCACATCAGTTCTGATGACAGCTGTGGGTGACACCCAGGTAACGACTACTCATTCTCGCTGCTTTCTCCTGCTGCTGCCAGGAGCCCAGTCCTAAAATTGATCATGAAAATGAGGTTCCAGCATAATCTGCTTCTTTTGCTCTGGATGTGGATGTTCGATCCAACACTTGTGATGTTATTAATAATACTGGTCTACCACCAAGAAGCTTGCTGTGATCATAGAATCCGATTAAAGCAGCACATATTTACCTTTTTGTTTTCAGTTTTATCATTTATGTACTGTTTTGGCATTTCACTGTGGACAGGTTTTCAGAAACAAACTGTGATGCTCATTATAGGCTAAATGTTTTTTCATTATTTTAATGAATTGCAGACAATGGTGGATTTGCAGTGATTTCTGGCACATAAGCGATTATCGAATAATGATTTCAGCTCCACCCTCAAATCTCCTAAAGGTGGGCACACACTTAATCACTGCTGCGCAGATTCTGAATGGTATTTGGATGTGACAACTGGTTGGACCGAATTGTGCTGATACGTTTCAGTTCCCTCTTTAGCTGTACAGTCCACATTGTCCTCGCTTCTCTGTCCAGCATCTCACCCAAACTCTGCACTTTTTCCTCTTGTTTGTTTTCCATGCAAATTGAAGTGTAAAACATGGACAGATATAAATAATGCAAGCCAGTTGCGTCCATATTTGTGAGAACTCGCAGGATTTACAGGCTTGTCTGCTGCCAGACTGTAGTTGTTAGACAGTTAAGTTTGTTGTCCACAAAGCTTGATTAGTTTGTGTGTGTGTGTGTGTGTGTGTGTGTGCTCCTTCCTGGCTGTGTAGTACTAAAAATCTGTGCAAGCTCATAGAAACGGTTGTTAAGTGTGGCTTGTCCAGTCTTAGCTGTTATCCAGTTAAGTTTGCCCAGCGTAAGAGGTTCACTGGTCCTTGATGCATGTATTTATGATCCGTCTATGATGCGAGGGCAGCATTACGCTTGGTTTTGTACTTGTTGTGCACCCAGTGGATCTACTTACTATAATTATCTCTTTCGAGGATCCGCTGTAATCAAAGCATGTCTGATAATTGTCACACTGACAACTCCACACAGTGTCCAGTCACTCCCATACAAAGTAGTACATTACATCAGAGCTGAGGCAGTTTCAACACAGGAGTACTGTAGCCAGTGCTGACTCAGTCGAATGTTAATAATGTGAAATCCCATTAAGAGCAATCTGGTGCTAAGCATCACCATGTCTGGGCTTACAGGGACAGCAGGTCTTTTTAAAAGGCCAGCAGTGTCCTTGTATTTGCACTGTGTAATAGAATCTAATCACTTGAGTTACTCACTCTAAACTCAGTTGCTCTTTTAAAGTGTTGCTGCTAATATTTAGTTGCTCTTGAAGGCCATTTAAAGACTTTGGATGAGTGTTAGGGGCCGCTGTGGCTCAGGAGGTTGAGCAGGTCATTTCCTAACTGGAAGGAATGGGTTCAGACATAGGTCACTTTCATGTCACCCTAATGTCCTCACAGCTTCATTCAGACATACCCATGACCATGATGGAAAGAGCTACAGTATGTGTGTAATATTTGCCACACACACGAGCTCTTCATAATCCTGTGTGTGCAGTGTGCCCATCTGTTGATGCAAGTCCATGCAGTTGTGTTGCGTTCAAAGTGATACTTTGGGCGACTGTGGTTCAGTGGGTAGAGCAGTCGTCTCCCAACCAGAGGGTCAGAGGTTCGAATTTTGGTGCCTACAGTCCACGTGTCGAAGTGTCCTTGGGCAAGACACTGAACCCCCAAGTTGCCCCCGATGGTTAGAGCCATCGGTTGAGTTGGTGCCGCAGATGGCTGCCTTGGTTCTGTACCGGAAACAAATTCCTTGTGTGTAACATACTTGGCCAAATAAAGATGATTATATATAAATGTTACTCACCCTGGTCTAGCAAGATTGTCATCACAACTTTTATAGAAAAGTGACCAGGCTGCTCATTCAGAAATGAAAGTGGACAAGTTCAGATGCAGTTAGATTAATGGAAGAGTAGAAAGAAAAAAAAAAAAAATCAGCTGTTTTCATTGCCCTGTCTTGGGGTTGATTAAACAGCAGGAACCACATGCAAAGTAGTGTCATGTTCCATCAGAGTCTGTTGTGAGTGCCAAGGGATGCTTGGTGAGGTAGTGCTAAGCTCCAGCTGCCCACTCTGTCACCAGTCTTTGTTAAACTAGCACACTGTCACTGGCTTCAGATTGTCAGTATTGAAGAGATGGGACATGGCACCTTTTTTTTTTTTTTTTTTTTTTTTTTTCTCCCCAACAAAAGGTTTTCTGTAACATACCTACCCATTTGAGGCTACTCATCTACTTCAGGCATGGTGCACATGATTATAAGAGAATATGGGTACTCTTCCGCCGCCGCTCCCTGCCACTGCCGGGCGA